ATTTTAAGATTTAGGAATATGTGGACCACTTATAGAAAAATATTGTAGGATTCATAAGAAGAGAAGTCTGAAATAGTCAGATTTCATGGGGGGAAGGTGGCATCCAATTTCCTAGTTTTGGTTCCTTTTAGGTCTGCTAAGATAAGTGGTATATAATTTAAAAATCTTCGTGTGACAGACAAGGAGGTGAATAGATGTAGGTAGGAAGACTTGTCAGTTTGCCCTAATTTCATGAAAGATCCCCTGTTGGTGAGTATCTGGATGGGCTCTGTTTATAATATAAACAATATTACTGTGAATATTCTGGTGCCCTTTACAATGTGGCTACAGAACAGGTTCCCAGAAGTAGAATCCAGATGCACAGTTAGTTGTTCCTTTGAATATTAGGCGCCATTAGGCATTTGTGCAGATCTTACCTGAGGTTGTACAATGGTACCAAGGAGTTGTAGTTGTTATCCCAGACTACAGCTCCTTGGTACCATTTTTTTTTAAATCACTCTTTTAATAGACTAAGGCCTTTAAATGAGGATAAGCCACCCCTATTGGATATTTTTCTCCATGAGAGAAATTTTTGCAAAGAAAAGTCACCAGTCTCCCATTTTGTTTTCTTTTCCTTCCTTCTTTCCTTCTCTCCTTCCTTCCTTCCATTTCTTTTTTCTTTTTTTTTTTTTTTTTTGCACTGGAGATTGAGCCCAGGGACACGACACCACTGAGCTATATCCCCAGTCTTTTTATGTTTTATTTTGAAGTTCTACGTTGTCCAGGTTATCCTCAAACTTGCCATCCTTCTGCCTCAAAACTCCCAGGTCACTGAGATTTACAGGTGTGTGCCCACAACTACTAGCTGGCTCCCGTTTTCTGTGGGTGTTGGTGTCTGTCCCTTAAACCATGCAGTTGAGCTTTTGCAAGAAACATCTCAAGAGTTGTATTTGCATATCAAACCCTTAGTGAGTATGACTATTTTTAACCAAAAGTTTCTTCATATTAAACATATTTACAATTAAAAATGGTACTGGAGGGAAATATTACCAACAGTATCATCCACAGCACTTTTAAGTCCATTAAATGCAACTTAGAACTTTTATTGGGGACACAGTTCTCAGTGAGGAGCCTGGTCCATTTCCTCTCGCCTGCAGTGACTCACGCTGCCCCTCTGGCCCTTCCTGCCAGCAATTCAGGGCAAATGTGCAGTTCAGTTTCACCAGATCTGTTACCCACAGTGTAACCACATTTGCATTCTCCTCTTTTCATTGGCTCTGGTTTTCTGTTTTCATTTTATTAACCTTGTTATTGATTCCTTTGTGGTAAAGCATTTCATATCCTTCTGAGCAGGAGGCAGGCTATGAAAATAATGCCTGTATTTAGCATTGTTAATGAAACATGAGTTTCAAAATAGTCGGCATATGACAAAATGTAAAAGCACAGTTTGTGGAAATTAGCCTGCGTATTAGATTTTATTTATTTTTTAAATTTTTGTTYTGGGAATAACACCTGGGGTGCTTTACCGCTGAGCTACCTCCCCAACCCCTTCTTAAAAACTTTGAAACAGGGTCTCGCTAAGTTGCTAAGGATCTTGGTGAGTTGCTGAGGCTGACCTCAAACTTGTGATCCTTCTTTCTTAGCCTCCAAAGTCACTGAGAATACAAGGGTAGACCCCCACACCCAGCTGTATTAGGTTTTAGACCAAAGTAGTTTGAGTGAGGCCCAGCTCCAGCGCTTACCAGCTGTTTCCCTGGGCCAGACATTTAACCTTTCTGAGGCTCAGTTTATTATCCTGTAAAGTGAGCACAGTAATATCTTGGGCACAGGGTTTTCTCAAGGATTAAAGGAGATGCTCAATCCATTCTGGATGTTTAATTAGAAAATACTAAGGTGCAAATCATTGTAAAGTGTAGTTCATATCTCTTGGAAATGTGTAACCACTTTCAAATTTTTATCAAGAGCAGATTGTATTTTCTGGTCTCTTTGCCCAGTATAAGGAATTTCAAGACCTGGTCAGAATTTGGCATGCTGATTGCCATGTCATAGGAGGTGCTCTTGGAGGTGTCTTTCTGAACTGCAAGGCGCCAGACACAGCTCCGTATCAGCAGGGGTGAGCAGAGGCTGGCTCCCAGCCATGAGACCATTCTAACTCTCCATATGGAGTGGCGTTTTCAGTTTTGAAAATCCACAAGATGTAATTTGGTTCTCAATTATCCATGGTGAGAGGGGAAAAACATAAAATAAGCATAAGCAAATGATAATCTCTTGATATGGTGCCCTTGGTTGACACCCGCCCACATCCACTGGGTTTTTTGCCTTCACCCTCCCTCTTCTCAAGGTCATTGCCCTCAGACAACTGGCCATCTTGTCTTTTTCTGGATGTCTTTGACCGCTGGGGATAGATTCCCCCCTGTAGCCTGTGCTCACCTTCTTGCAGAATTCTCTCTCAGAAGCAGAGTTCTCCACACGTCATTCCTGCTCAGAGAATTCTCTGTGGCTTCCTGCTAAAAGGAAGCCCACACTGTCCGGCAGGCCACATAAAGAATGCCTGGCGACAGACTTCTCTGATGATGTCTCCTGACTTCACATACGCACACCAAAATTCYAAGCATTTTCTAACTTTTTTTWAAAAAATGGGTTTTGTGTAGTTGTTCATAATATCCACTTATTTTCTCCCATCCAATTTTTAACTTTGAAAATTTCAGATCTATAGCAAAAAGATGAAAAAATAGACCCTTTCCCTAGGTTGAGCAGTTTTCAAATTTTGGACACATCTGCCCCTTCTCATTGTGGCTGAAGTGTTGAAAGTCGCAGAGACCTTAACCCTTACTCCTTCTCATCTCCGCCTACATCTCCAAAGATGTGGACATTCTCCTTTGTATCCCCAGTACCATTATCACACATGTAAAGTCTAACAACAATCCCCTAGTGTCCTGCTGAAACCAGCTGAATTTCCCCAATTATCCTGGCTGTGCATTTCAGATTCCCCTATTCTCCCAGGATTTAGCTAAAATTCACATACTGTTCCTGTAGCTTTTTCTCCTTCTCCTTCTTTTCCTTCAGTGCTGGGGATTGAACCCAGGTCCTGGCACACATTAGGCAAGCGCTGTCTCACTGAGCTACACACCCAGCCCTCTAGTCTCTTTTAATATGGAATAGTCCTGCCCCCTTTCCTTTCTAGTAGAAGTGTCCAGGCTAGTCGTCTTGAGAATACAGCAGATTCTGGATTTTTCTGATTATCGTATTCCTCTCTCCCCTGTATTTCCTGCAAACTGTAAGTTAGTTCTAGAGATCTCTGCTTCACTTGCTGCATCTCCATCTCAGAACCCTTAGCCTATGGGGCGAAAAAAATGTGCTGTTTTGAATTAAAGAAGTACTTGCTTCCCCTTTATTTTGGGAACTACAGCTCACTAGTTTCAGAAAGAGGTGTGGCTGTCCTACAGAGGCTTGTCCCCCAGCTAATGAAATGATAAACAAGTCCAAGTTCCCAGACCAGCGGGAATCCTGCAGGACAATGTGAGAGCTGGGCCCGGGCAGCCGAGTTCTGAGAGGAGCTCTGGAGGTTTCTTAGCACAATTCCTTCCCCATGAGGTACTGTCTGACTCACACCGCCTTTCCCCCAAACTCAGTCATCTTGCTCTCCTCTGAAGTTCTAKCACCTGGCCTCAAACTTTGGCAGCACTCCAGAATTACACAGGGAGAACCGTGGTCCCACTGGACCCCAGAATAGTTTTCTAGAATGTGTCCAGTGAATCTATTCTGTGGGAATCACTGCTCTGTAGGACCTTCTAATGGAGACGATTTTGCTTTTAAAGTGTAGTTTCAAAGGTATGCTCTAAGGCAAGAGTCACCTGGTTCAAATGTTCCAAATCTTCTCAGTATCCAGAGTGCTCTGTGGAGTATTCTGCCCATCCTAGGATTAAGTAAATGAAGCATTGAACAGGTTTTTATGTCAGAAGCATGGCAATGTCATTCTGCACGGGTCAACACAAGCCCTCCACTCACTGGGATGGCTTTTCCTCCAGAGTCCCCTCTCAATCCTGGCTTGCAGTGCCATAACTATGTCATTTGTCAGCTGGTTTCTAGGCTCAGATATCTTTTTTTTTTTTTTTTGTAATTGGTGTATTATAATTATATGTAATTGGAATTCATTATGCCATATTCAGACATGCACACAACATAATTAGACTTGATCATCCAGATGTTCGTACAAGCATCTTTTCTACCATACCTGTCTCTTTTATTTTCAGCCTTGGGGGAAGGCCACCACCATCTTCCTGGGTCCCCAAGCCACATTCAGCTGGAGCCAGGCTCTGTATACTCTAACTTTTACTCACACCCGCCTTGAAATCTCAAGCCCTCTCACCTTCACCTTGCATGCTATAATATAGACGGCATATGCCACTTGTCTTCAGGATAAAAAAGCCAAGTCATCAGCACTGTACCAGCATGTGCCTCCTCTCCAGCCCTGGCCTTCCTGCTCAGTCCTGGACTAAAGGTGTAATTTTGTTGAACCAGTTTGAAGGAGTCACGCTATGTTGAGGCCACCGTGGTTGCATGTGAAGTTTGTTCTTCCTGGAAACCCTCTGCTGACCTTTCAACTGGCCAACATCCCTCCCAACACAGATCATTTCCTTCGGGAAGCTTCCCAGACCTGGTGCTTTTCCTCTTATCTGAATTACGTGTCCTCTCTTAGGTCTTGTGCATCCTCTGTCATTGACCCACCCCATTGTGCCATAATTCGAATTTACACATTTTTTGCCACGAGACTATGAGCTTATTTAGAGGAGGAATTATGTCTGGCTGATAAAACATTAATGTTCAATAAATATTTTTGAATGAACGAATAAATGAATGAGCAAGCAAACCCATTTGTGAACAGTGTCCACGTTTGAGTATATTAATCTAAGTATGATGAAGAAGAAAAGTACTTCCTTTTATTCTGCTTCAGCGAAGAGATTTTGGAAGCCAGTTCTGGAATGGTAAAATAATGTCCCCTTGATTTTCTATCCCGACAGGAAATATGGGATGTATAAAATCAAAAAGGAAAGACAATCTGAATGACGATGGAATAGATATGAAGACTCAACCAGTACGTAATACTGACCGAACTATTTATGTGAGAGATCCAACGTCCAATAAACAGCAAAGGCCAGTAAGTAGATAGTCTCAGGGAGAATTCCCACAGCAGGATCCAAGTATGGCTGCATAATTTTAACCCCAATCTGTGATATGTGCATGCAAAAAAAATCACATTGATTTCTTGGACCTCAGATAATTTTTGATGTGCTTTGTGACTTAATCCTTTGAAGAATGTGTAAATCTTTAGGGATGACCAGGCCACTTATTGGGCAATAAACAAGCCTTTAACCACATTTTTATATGTGGAGAAAAACATCTTTTATATCATTGGTGAAGAGACCCCAATACATATATAGGCTGTATGACTGAGGATAGGTAACAAGATCAGCAGAGTGGTGTGGAAGCACAAGAAAATTCTGGATTYAAGTCAGAAACTAAAATAGGTGCTCATGTCACATTTGGTATATCACATTTTATCCAACTGATTCAGAAGAGTATAGATATTAAAAGAATCATGATTTGTTATAATGAATTAAAGGATTAAGAAAAGCTCATCTAATTCTGCCTCATCATTGACACTGATAAGTCAGTTAGTTAAAAAGCAGTGAAGGGCTGGGGTTGTGGCTCAGTGGTAAGAGTACTCACCTGGCATGCGTGAGACACTGGGTTCAATCCTCAGCACCACATAAAAATAAAATAAAGATATTGTGTGCACCTAAAACTAAAACAGAAATATTTTTTTTAAAAAGTAGTGGAAATGAAGAATGACTATATAATACTATTAAGTTATCATATGTTTTCTGGATAGATAAATTAACATGTATTATGTAAAATTATATTTAGAAAATAAATTTACTCAAATGGTATAAGATTATTAGTAGCTTTAATAATTTAGTGATGATATAAATATACATATAAAATTTAAGAACATACTACATAAKTGTGTAGTGATATAGGACTATATGTAACATAAATGTGATTAACAGAAAATAAAATGAGGAATTAGAGTTACAAATAGTTTTCTTATAGACTCCACAACTCTCATAAAAAGGATCTGTTTGTTTCTGGCACTAACTGTTGCAGAATTTATATGCTTTAAAACTCACATTTTTTGGTCTGTTTTATTTTTAAATGATGAATGAATATGTCTTTTATTCAGAAAAGCAGGGTAGACTCATACAAAATTACATGCCCATTTTCTCCTCTTGTTCAGAATCAGGGAAATTAAAATCAAGTTAGAAAGCAGAAGTAGTAAACATGTTTGAAATCTTTCAATTCCCTCATGTATACCATAAGTATTTTAGTCCTTGCCTTCTGTGGTCACAGATGCCCTCACTTCATGAGCCAGTTCTTTTGGCCTCATTCCATGGCCATAAATAACACTCTCAGCCTTGCCAGGTGTGCCAAAATGCTTGCCATGAATTGATTGCAAGGGGAGTTTGATGAGGGGGTGAGATGGAATGGATGTGATTCTCCAGTACACTAAGAATAGCTATTTTAAGAAAAGATCTAGGACAATGGTGTAAGAGTTGCATATATGTGTTTTAGTCTTAGAAAAAGTGTATTTGAAAGAGCTGGTGGCTTATGCCCTGTGGTATCAACTACTCAGAATGTAGAGGGAATTACTTGAACCCTTGAGTTCAAGACCAGTCTGCAGGGCAACATAATAAGACCCCATTAAAAATAGTATCTTAAAATGTTTGTACATTAACATGTCTGATATTTTCCAATCAGCTTGCTGCTTTCAGAACTACTTAGTTTCTTACTTAATTATTTCCTCTAAATCATATGAACTAGATCCTGTTTGCTAATTATGCAAATCAAAATGACTGACAAATCAGTGTAAAATTTCTTGAAATTCTTGAAGGATAGCGTGGACCCATAGATTTTCCGATACCTTGATGAATCATGTTCCCTCCTTAATGAATTAGAGATGTTATGGGCTGACTTTCATCAGAAATTTAAATTTTAGTACAAATCATTTTGGTCCCATTCCATGAAATCACTTTAATCAAAGAGAAATGGAAACGTCACATGGTTTGCAGTGTAGTCCCTTATTATATACCATCCTTAGAAGAGGTCACGAGACCTTGCCCAGCCTTATCATGCATTGTGAGAAAAAAAAAAAAACTTTGGCAATTGAGATGGTCTTTTATACTACTAGTCCTTCCCAATAATACACCTCCCAGGTACAAAGGCAGGGGATGCCATCTGTCCTCATGATGGAGTTGAGGTCAGCCCAAGAAAGTCTGGATCAGTTAGGACATGCTCTCAGTTGCTAGTGACAGCCCTGACTGTGTTTAAACAAGTCTGGGAAGCATGGAAATGGGATGATGTGACAATTCTGTAAAGTCACCAGGACCCCAGCCACTTTCTTCTCTCCCTCAGCTGTCATGGGCATTTGGTTTCTGTAGCTGCTGGGACTCCAGCCTTCAATTGCTTCTAGGCAGAAAGAAGGAGGCAAGAGAAAAGGTGAGGCTTTGCCAAAGCCCTGCACAACCATTGAGCATACGGAAATGCTACCTCTCAGGTCTGTGTAAGGGGCTGGAGGGTCTGGAGCTAGGCGAATAATATGAGGGTTGTGTTATCAGATAAAGGCAGAATTACAATGAGGTGAGCATATAGCAGCTCACTGACCCAAGCTCTGATCACTTCCAGCCAGCCAGGGCGAATGATAGCTTTTAGAAGGAAGATGGGTTTCACTGAGCCATATATAGGCAGTGGTATTGCTCTCCAGAATGAATTTCCTCTCTGTACTGCTTTTCTTTCCAGCTTAATAAACCAGCAAATCCAAAGCGCATTTGCTACTACTGTTAGAAAAATGATATACCCCACTAACATGAGCAGAAAAGGCTAAGCATAATCTTTTCCTAACAAATATTCTCTCATAGGTTCCAGAATCTCAGCTTTTACCAGGACAGAGGTTTCAAACGAAAGGTATGTTTTCTTAGTAACATAGTTACTGTTTTTTTTTTCTTTATGTTAGAGTCTTTATAAAGTAGTTGCCCTCAAAGTTTGTATTTATTTTTCAATATGGAAAATAAATACACATTACATCTTAACARTTTTAACCATTTGTAGAGTTAAATGGTGGTCTGCACATTCACAATTTTGTACAGCCACCACTCCCATCCATCTGAGAGCCTTTTGGAGGACTTTTTCCTCTTCTCAAACTGAAACTCTGTACCCGTTAAACACTAATTTTTCATTTTCCACTCATAGCTGCTCCTGGCAACCACCATTGTATTTCCTATCTCCATGAATTCAATTATTTTAGGTACCCCTGTATGAGTGGAAATATAGTATTTGCCCTTTTGTGCCTGGTTTATTTAATTTAGCATCATGTCCTCTATTCATCTATATTATAGCCTGTGTCAGAACCTCATTTCTTTTTAAAGCCAAATGATACACCATTGCATGTATGTGCCACCTTTTATCTTTTTTGGGGAGGGAGGGAGTACCAGAGATTGAACTCAGGGGCACTCAGCCACTGAGCCACATCCCTAGCCCAATTTTGTATTTTATTTAGAGACAGAGTCTCACTGAGTTGCTTAGTGCCTCGCTGTTGCTGAGGCTGACCTTGAACTCGAGACCTTCCTGTCTCAGCCTCCCTAGCTGCTGGGATTACCTGCGTGCGCCACAGCACCTGGCTACCCTGTATCTTTTCATCTATCAATGGACATTTAGGTTGCTTTCACATTTTAGTATTGTGAATTATGCTCTTAGGAACATGGGTGTTCATAACTGGAAAGCAGGACGTGTGGTTGGAGGTCAGTATGCCTTGCATACTGAATACTGTACCCAGTATGTACACCACGTTATTTTGCAGACCTGGAGTTCCACTRGGTAGGAAGTTCACATGCTCATCCAGTTACCCCTCTTCAGCACTTCTTCTCATTCTTTGTGCCCCATGGGGATTAAAAAAAATTTTTTTTCTGCTGATGGATTCTTAAAAGTCTTTACTTGTGTCCTTCATTTTCAGATCCAGAGGAGCAAGGCGACATTGTGGTGGCCTTGTACCCCTATGATGGCATACACCCCGATGACCTGTCTTTCAAGAAAGGAGAGAAGATGAAAGTCCTGGAGGAGTAAGTGTTCCCAGGCCACAGCTCAGGTCATAAGCTCTCGCAGACTGCCCCCTGGTTTTCTTTCAGGACCAGGGTGACACCCAAACCCAATTCTTGCAGTGGGCATGAGGTCCCTCAGCCTTCTGCTGCCAGTAGCCCTCAGCATGGGAAAGAATAGGTTCAAAGTATTTCTCTTTGAAGTCCAGCTGTGAGCATGCTCCGGACTTTTCCCTTTGAGAATAGATCCTGGTGTAATTCTTCACCTGGCTGTGCCACCTTAAGAAATTTGAGTCTGTATAACACCTGCATGGTCTTTAAGTGGTCATTTTTATTTGGTTGTATTGCCAGATTCAGATTGGGTTTATGGGCCAGTTGATTTGGTTTTCGAGGTCATGGTACTACAGAGCCCTAGTGTTGGACTAGCTGTGCTCAGTAGCAAYAGCGTTTCTGTAAAGATGCTTGGACAGTTCATTTCCTTGACTCCTGCATTGCTGACTCAGACATGTGGCCCTTGTCAGACCACAGGGGCACAGGACAGTGAGGAGAATAAGGAACTCTGAACATTTTAATTCTAGCTTGCTTCTCCCATTGATTTTGCATGAAGTGTCTCCCAAATTTGCCAATAAGGCTAAAGGAGGGGGAGACTCCCTTATTGGGTGATTGAGAGCAGGTTTACTATTGGGTTGAACATGAACTTAAGCCTCAATTTGGCCCTTCCTCTTGATAGCTCTGTGACTCAGAAAAGTCACTCAAAGTCTATACTTGGTCATCTTTGCTTATGAAACTAGAATGACTGTATATATCTCATAGGGTTGTTGTAAGCATGGCATGTGTATGTCAATGTATACAGTCCCTGAGTATCCATGGGGTACTGGTTCCTGGACCCCACTTTGATATCAAAGTCTGTGGATGCTCAAATCCCTTATATAAAATAGCTCAGAATTTGCATATAACCTCCACAATCTCCTGTTATACTTTAAATCATCTCTATATATACTACCTAATACCACGAAGAATACTATGTAAATAGTTCTTAGACTACATTGCTGAGGAAATGATGATAAAAAAGAAAGGTCTGTACATGTTCAGTACAGGTGCAAATTTTTTTAATATTTTGGATTTTTGATTGGTTGAATCTAAGAATGTAGAACCTGTGGATATGGAAGATCAGCTATATGTGTAAATACAGGATAGGAGTGCAGTAGGCATAGTGGTAGTTGTAGTTGTCCTTCATGCATCCCAGATAAGGATCCTCCAGGGGCATTTGAAGATGAGCAGAGTTGGGACTTGCAGAGAGACCCATTCTGTTCCTCYCTCCTTCATGGGACCACCTGCTCCCGCCAGTGCTGGTTAGGGCTGTAGCACGATGATGAGACGTACCTTCTTGGAATTGTTTTATGGGCTTTTTTCTCTCTCTTTTCTTCTTGGCATCTGTCTCCATGGAAACAACATGTCTTAGCAAAGAAGTTTATGACACTTGAACTATGACCCATTATTCTCTTGTCTCCCTTTTCTGTGAGGATTCTAAACATTTCATAGCTATCCTAGGGGAAACGACAAAATATTTTGCTTCTGCAAAATGGGAATCATTTTTACCAACTATTTTTTCTGCAGCATCTATCACAACAATCCACATTTAAGTTATAAGGCCATTTTCCTTTGCTTTCATCCCTAAACATATTTTTGTACCATAAAGGGGAATGAATTTTCCCATTGGATTCTGAGATTCCAGAGATGCCACCCCCCCCCCACTTCCCTCATCCCACAAAATAAACACCTTGAGATGATGGCTGTTGGAGTTCTTGAGTCTTACACATCAACCATTTCTGATATGTGTTCTTATTCCAGGCATGGAGAATGGTGGAAAGCTAAGTCCCTTTCAACAAAGAGAGAGGGCTTCATCCCCAGCAACTACGTGGCCAAAGTCAACACCTTAGAAACAGAAGAGTAAGTTCTTATGTCATCACCCGCAGTGGGGGTGTTGGCTGCACGGGGATTGCTTGTTCTTTTATTCTCCTTTTCCTTCCCTGGAACATAACAACTATGAAAGTGAAAATGTCTCCACAGGTGGTTTTTCAAGGATATAACCAGGAAAGATGCAGAACGACAGCTTTTGGCACCCGGGAACAGCGCAGGAGCTTTTCTTATCAGAGAAAGTGAAACATTAAAAGGTGGGGAGTGGCTTAAGACCTCTTTTAAAACACTACTTAAGAAATTATTTTTAACTCTGTATATAAAGTATGTTCATGCCAAATTAGGCCATTATCCATGAGCTCTCTTATTATGATTTTTTGCACTATAATTCTTAATATACCTTTATACCACCATTTATCATATCTTTGTATTTTGGTGTTGGCACCAAATTCACATCTTCATACATGTATTTTGTATAATGATGAGGGTCTCTTTCCACCATCCATGCTATTCCCCTTCTCCCTCCCTTTCCCTCCCACCCCTATATAGGAAATAAAAAAAAAATCATTTTTAGAAATGGCTAGAACTACTAAAAAAACACAAAGATATACTAAATTCTGGTGGTGAAATGTTGATAGTTTGATAACAACAAACTCAAATGATTCATTTTAGTAGTAAAAATMACAAAAGCAGCCACAGTTGTGGCTGGGGCTGACCACACTTCTTGCTTGCTGATTCGTCTTATGGTTCTTATGTATAGTAAATCCTGAAGTTTTAAGAGAAAGAAAAATCAAAGTAATTTTTCTGTTCAGCTAAAATTTTTTTCCCAGTAATTACCCAGGGGTAATTTACCACTAAGTTACATTCCTAGCCATTTCTATTTTGTATTCGAGACATTTTATATTTTGCTAAATTAGCCTGGGCTGACCTTGAACTTGGGATCCCCTGCCTCAGCCTCTCAAGTCTATGGGATTACAGGTATGCACCACCCCYGCCCCACTCAGGTAAATAATTTTTTTAAACTGTCAAAGAGAAGGAAAATGGCATGTTGGCTACTTGCACAACAAACAGTACTAGCTTCATTTGTCAAGTAGAATTTTTGTAGGACTTTTCAAATCTATGTATGTATATATAATTGGTTGTATTTCATATATATGATGGCAAAATGTGTACCATTATTTGCAAAATATAAACATCCACTTTACTTATACTTTTCCCCCCATAGGAAGCTACTCTCTTTCTGTCAGAGACTATGACCCTGTGCATGGTGATGTTATCAAGCACTACAAAATTAGAAGTCTGGATAATGGAGGTTATTACATCTCTCCACGAATCACCTTTCCCTGCATCAGTGACATGATTAAGCATTACCAAAGTAAGTGAAACCTGTAGGTTGAACAAAACAGAACATGTACATTATAACAACTAGAAGGTATCAAATACTATTTTTGTACTAAAACATTTTATTTATCATTTTTTAGATAAAGTTGGCAGATCATATTTTATAATGGATTCTAAATTAAACTATAATTAAATTTACAGATGCTCCCTTACATATGATGAAGTTATGTCCCAATAAACCTATTATAATTTGGAATTGGTATACATTGAAAAATGCCTTTAATATACCTAACCTACCAAATTTCATGGCTACGGTTAGTTTCTTTTAAATATGCTCAGAACACTTTCATCATTCTGTAATTGAGCAAAATCTTCTAAAACAAAACCAGTTTTATAAAAGAGTGCCTGGAAAACTCATGTAAATTTTTTAGCACTGTATAAAAGTGAAAAACAGAATAGTGCATGGGTGAGCTTTCACATCATCACAAAATAGAAAAATCCCATTTTGAACTGTTAGGCACTCAAGACTATCTGTACAAAGTAAGACTTGATCTTGGTGAATGATCATTCCTGCCTAGTCCAYGCTATTAATATTTAAATTCTGAAATTGCTTAGAGAAAAATATATATTATTTTTGTATGCTGCCAATTTAACAGAGTGTACAAATAAGTGAAATAGAAATGCAGATCTGTGTTTTTKTGTGTGTGTGTGTAAAAGTAATGTATACTCTTGGTAGAAGAAAACAAAACTAATACCACAGACATCTTTAAAAGTAGCAGGTCGGTATTCTTTGTCTCTAGTGTCACTTTCCAGCCTGTGAAGCCTGTGCTTATGACCTTTAGGTCCTTTGCCTATGTGACTGATATCAGTGGTTGTCACTACTGCTTCTTTCCACCACCTGCTCGAAGAGAATGCACATGGAAGGTTTGCTCAGGTCCCAAAAGATGAGAGAACAAGGGAMCTCAGATTTCGTGAAGTCCTTCCTCCCTGCGATTCCCATGCATTTAGGGCTTCCAGCTATGTCCTGAGGGCTTACAGTGCTCTGGCCCTGTTCTGGGATTGGGGGAGGTGACATGACAACATCYATATCTTTTTATCATGTGCGGTTTCTGTGGCCTCAGGAGTCTGAACACATTCTATTAAGTATGACAACCTGTCAGCCTTTGTTTACTATATTGTCTGTTTACTATATTGCTTTTGTTTTTGTATTTTAGGAGTGTTAGCAAGTAAAATCAAATGTTTTGAATTGCATTTTAAGAATTTAGAAAGTCATGAATGTGCAAAAGATACCTCTATCGGCATTTTAGGTTTATAGGCTATGGCAAGTTAGACATTGTAAGATAACAGTTCAAGATTTTCTTTATTAACATTAGCAAAGTACAAGGTATGTACCATTGGTTCTTCATCTTTGGGGGGCTGTACTAGGGATTGAACTCAGGGGTACTTGACCACTGAGCCACATCTTCAGCCCTATTTTGTATTTTTTTTATTTAGAGACAGGGTCTCACTGAGTTGCTTAGCAGCCTCGCCATTGCTGAGGCTGGCTGTGAACTCGTGATCCTCCTGCCTCGTTCTCCTGAGCCACTGGGGTTACAGGTGTGCGCTACCACGCCAGGCCTATCTATTGGCCCGTCACACCCACAAGTTCTATATCCAATCATCCAATCATCCAAGGATCAAAATATTTTTTAGAAATTTTGTATCTGTACTGCATTCATTCTAACTTAATCTTGTCATCATCCACATAACAATACAGTATAACAATTATTTGCATAGCATTTACATTGTGTTACGTATTACAAGTAACCTAGAGATGACTGAAAGTATGTGGGAGGATGTGTATAGGTTATGTGCAAATACTATGTCATTTTATGTAAAGGACTTGAGCATTTATGGGTTTGGGTATCCACAGGGGTCCAGGAACCAATCTCTCATGTATTGCAGTTCTTAATCTTTGTTTTCATTTCAAATTAGAGCAATCAGATGGCTTATGCAGAAGATTGGAGAAGGCTTGTATTAGTCCCAAACCACAGAAGCCATGGGATAAAGATGCCTGGGAAATCCCTCGAGAGTCCATTAAGTTGGTGAAAAGGCTYGGTGCTGGACAGTTTGGGGAAGTCTGGATGGGTGAGTATGGCTCTCTGGGGCTGACATCCCTCTCTACAGGGGATGACAAAGAAGGGCTCAAGCCAGTTTCTTTTAGCCTCTGGGCCAGACACTAGATTGTGTCAGAAGCATCATTTCTTTTCCTTTCCTCTGTCCATCGGAGGCTGAGAACTGCCTTGCAGAATCTATTGGCTTCAATTCTTGCTCTTCCTTCTGACTCAGTATTTTCTTCATGTTCATAAGGAAAGGAGTGGTGGGTGTTTACGTGAGTGTTTTGTTTGCTCTTTCATGATTCTCTCATTGGATTCTCTGGAGGTACATTCGCATCCACTTAGGTTTAGAATCCACTGGCTTAATAGGAAATCTCACATTTTTTGCAGTTTGAGGGTCAACAAGAAAGTTTCCAGAGCAGAGCACAGTAGCACACACCTGTAATCCCACCTACTTGGGAGGCTGAGCCAGGAGGATCTCAAGTTCAAGGACAGCCTGGGCAACTTAGTGAGACCCTGTTTTTAGGTGGGCATGGTGGCATACACCTGTAATTCCAGTGGTTCAGGAGGCTGAGACAGGAGGATCCTGAGTTCAAAGCCAGCCTCAACAATGGTGAGGCACTAAGCAACTCAGTGAGACCCTGACTCTAAATAAAATACAAAATGGGGCTGGGGATGTACTCAGTAGTTGAGTGCCCCTGCGTTCAATCCCTAGTACTGAGAGAGAGAGAGAGAGAGAGAGAGAGAGACCCTGTTTTTATTTTGAGACAGGGTGAATAGCTATCTCTGTGGTAGAACACCCCTGGGTTCAATCCCCAGTACCACCAAAAAAATTTTTTTCTGAAAATGCTCAAAGTCCCATCATTTAAGAGTTCTTCTTTAACACTAAATGTATCCTTCTCAGCCTGGCAAGAAGTGCATCAGTACCATTAATTAGAAAGTTAGTGGCTTTCTCCAATGAATTCTTTTGACTCATGTCTTTTTTAAAAGTTTTATAGTGAATATGAGTTTGTTTTGTAATAAGAATTAAGCAGGTTTTTTCCCCCCCTCTGGAGTCTGTACACATCTGACTGGATCACTTTCTCTGTGCCAGCTTTGTGTTAGTGAAAGCAAAAGTGATTTCCAAGCAGAAGGGGCAGCTGGCTTTTAAAACGACTCCAGCCCCAGGTGAGCAGGAACTGAGAACTTCCAGCCTACTGCAGCCCCGGGGTATGTCACTGCCGTGCAGAGACTGTGAGAGAGAGGTTTCCCCTCCAAACCCCCGGCCCCTGGGACCATGGCTTGGTATACTTTCTCCTGGAGCCAGAATGTCTTTTAAATATGGGAGTTGCTGACCCAGCCTGTAATTATTGCTTAYTGCACTCTAAATCTGAGCTCACAAAATTGGTAGAATTCAGATGACTYATAATTGTATCACTCCACATTCTTCCTTTTGGTTGGTTTGTCTCAGAACTGGCTGGGAGTGTCCGTTTCATGAGTGCTCTTGGTAGAGGCGGTCCCTTCCCGCATGTGCTCTGTTGCTTACATCCCCATATCATCCTCCTCCTCACTTCTCTCTTTTTAAAAATTAACATGAAATTAACAGAACGTCAAATGAATCATGTTAAAGTGAGCAATTTGGTGGCATTTAGAACATTCGCATACTGCGCAAGCTCCCTCTCTGTGTAGTTCCAAAATAGTTTCATCAACCCCCAAAGAAACATCATACTCTTTAGGCAACAATTCTCTGTTCTCCTCTCAGCCACTGGAAACCACCATTCTATGTTATATTTCTATCGATTTGTCTATTTTAGGTGCWTCATATAAGTGGAGTCATAGAGTGTTTGTCCTTTTGTGTCATTTAGCTTATTTCACTTAGCATAATGTTTTCAGGGTTCATCCAGTTATAGYATATATCAGAGTTTCATCCTTTCCTGTGGCTGAGTAATATTCCATTGTATGGATATGCCACAGTGTTTTTAACCATTTATCTGTTTATCCACTGATGGACATTTTGCTGCTATGAATGTTTATGTACGAGTTACTGTTTGGACACATATTTTCATGTCTCTTTGTTTTATACAAGGAGTGTAAACACTGGATCATACTGGATTTGTCTATGTTGAACTTTTTGAGGAACAGCAAAACTGTTGTCTACTCATTTTAAAAAAAAATGATTTGCCATCTTCTTTTTACCCCTTGAAAGACTTTTATTTATTTATTTTTCCAAATACACAGAAATAGGGGCAGGAATAGAATAATGAACAAAATATACTGTTCACCTCGATTCACGAGTTGTTCATACATTGCTATATTTGCTTCATCGTGTATGTAAGTGTGTGTGTGTGTGTGTGTGTGTGTCTGACACACATGTTGTTGAGCCACTGGAGACTAAGTTGCACACATGATGACTCTGTACTCCTAAATTTCTTAAGCATGGGTTTCCTCAGATCAGGGCCATTATCTTACACAACACAGTGATCACATTCAGGAGATTTAACATTGATACATACTACTATCTGACATCGAGTTCATATTCAAATTCAAATGTCTCCCATTGTTCCAATAATGCTGTTGTGACTATTTTACTAACCTCTTTTCCCCAGTGTATTTGCACTTAGTTGACATGTCCTTAATCTCCTTTTTTTGGTTTGTTTGTGTGTTTTTTTCCCCGTTTTTGTTTTTGTTTTGGTACTAGGGCTTGAACCCAGGGGCGCTTTATCTTGTCATTGTTCTTTAGTTTGAAACAGGGTCTCTTTAAGTTGCTGAGTTTCATTTCCTTTAATCTAGGACAGCCCTGTGTCTTGTCTTCATCTTATGACACCCACATTTTGTAGAACACCAGCCAGTTGTTTTGTAGAAGGTCCCACAATTTGGATTTTTCTAGTGMCTCTTCTGATGTGGCTCAGGTTGTTCCTTGGGGAATAGGAAGATGTGTTCTCTGTGATCATCAGGAGACACAGAACACTGTTTGGTCCTGTTCTTGCTGATGTTCTATTTGGTTTTAAGGCAATCCACCAGATTTCTCCATGGTGACTTGTAAGTCTTCAAAACGGTGTAAAAGGAACTTTCCCCAAGAGCTTTAGCACAGCATGCTCATTTTTAATTCTCTGCCCTCTTAGAAGCTGCGACATCACTCTAAAGCTGCGTTCTTTCCTCCTTGACTAGCTCCCTAAACATACCTGCTCTGACCTCAGCAGCTCACATTAGGAGCTTCCTCTCCCTGGCCTTTCTTTTCAAGGGTTATCTCTTTATTGAGAGTTTGGGCTGGAAAACATATTACCAAAACTGCCTTTAATCCAGGTCTCTGCATGCTCCCTCCTCTATGTTCTTAGTGCATTTTTGCATGCTTCACTCTAMGTCTGGGCTGTACAGTGTCCTCAGGCTCTGTTCCAGGTGCATTTTCATTGGTTTTCTGACTTAATGCAAGTAGCACTATAAGAAAGACATTGTTGTCAACATAAAAAATGATCAAAAAAAAAAAAAGATTTAAAAATTCGCCGAAGTCACTCAAAGTAATGARAGCCAGGCTGTTCTGGCATCTCACATAAGCCCTGGACTCATTCGTTTCTTAAGCTATCTACAGGTGAACTTGACTTCTCTCACCTTGGTTTCCATGTCAGTGAAATATGCAATCAACCAGCTCATCAGCTGTTGAGAGGATCAATGAGATATGTATCTGAAGTGTTTCGCAGAGTCTGGCTTTGTGTGCTTCATTTTTATTATTTTCATTTTTGCATGCTTGACTCTAGTCACTGTTGGCAAAATGCCAGGRGCCATACAGACTTGGCCATGGCTCTCAGCAACTGGAAGCTGTATTTTGATGGATTCTTTCCAGTTTCGGTCATGAAATCAAACTATAAATAAGGAAATTAGACCATTCTGGGGATACTTGTCCATGAAGGAATTGCATGTCTATCATTAAGAGAAATGTAGAGGAATTTAAYGAGGGTGTGTTCATTCCCCTGAAGATAGTCGTCCTGCATGTAAAATGATGGTTTGGAATTTCGTTCCACCTTTTCAGGTTTAGCTATGAAGCCAGGATAAAGGCAGAGAACTGTATGCAGAGGGTTAAGTCACCTGTACCTGAGAAATAAATAACAGGAAGCCAAGTTCAGTTGCATGAGTGGATTGTGTGTGTGTATGAGTTGTATCTCAATTAATGCTGTTTTTAAAAGTGCAGTTACTATGTCAGAAATGCTATTGTCAGCTGCATGGTCAGTGAAGCTTCCAGAGGGTACCTGGTAAGGGTCACGGCAGACTTTATCTAGTGCTTCTCTGTACCAGTCAGGGTCAGAGAGTGTTAGAAAACTTAAGGGGCCTCAATAGTGAAACAGGAAATTGGATTTTTCCAGGGGATTCTTTTGGCTCATCAATCTTTTTCTAAAGTTTTGCGCCCTTCCTCCCCCCCACAAACACTGATCTGGGAAGTTATCAATTTGAGGGAAAGAGATTAAGATAATCCTCTTGTATTTTCTTAACATTTTTTTTTTGAGGGCTTTTAGCAAACAGGATGATAAACTCTCTACCAGCTCCATGGTGGTAGTGCCCAGATCTGACATTTACCTGCCCAACTTGCCCATTCGAAAGAAACCAAGGGTTGAACCAGCAGAAAACCAGAAGCAAGACAGGGGACACAGGAACAGCCTCCACTGAAGTCAAATCATGTACAGCTCAGTTCTGTCTTCAGGACTCCAGCCTGTGCTAAAATTGTGCACCTGGACTTTGGCCACATGTGACTGAAGTTTGAGAAAATTCTTTGTGTCCACAGCTCATTCCCCCTGTCCACTCCTCACCCTTTCCTGTTCATGGGCTTTCTCTGTGCCATATGCTAAATATTTGCCCTTTGATTTTAGACAACTTTATTTTAGCATGCTCCCAGGTGCCTGGGAGAAACTGGGGTTTAGAAGAGAGGAATGGTAGAGTGTTGAAAAACATGTAATTTTCTTACCCAGTGTGTTATTTTAAAATTATTTTAATGGTACATTATTATGATACATAATGGTGGGATTCAGTATGCCATATTCATACATGCATATGACATGATTTGAT